CAAAATATGGGTCCTATTAACAATTAATTAATCACCGTAGAATCAATGAAGACATAAGAAAATAAGCAATCGACATACCTGTAAACATTGCTTATATCGATTTGCGTTTTCTGTTAATGATTGCTGTTGACTTTGTCTATCTGGGGAAAGAAAGTATTGTTGCTGATGGGCTTCATCAAGGCGGTGAAAAGTGTCTGTTGATCCTGTTGTTTTTGTTATGGATAACTCACTCTCGCGAATTGTTATTGTTTGATCACTGCGTAATAGTTCGGGTGGAACTTCTATACTTCGCTTCGTCATATCTACACTAAGCAAACACAAGCATACTCGTCAGCAACGCTATGAAAAAGATTAACGTATGTTTTTCTTTGTGCTTGCGAAATTTGTTATACAACAATTGAGAAAAAACAATTGTGTCTCGATCGCGAATCGAATCCAGCGCCACTGGTTTACTATACAATATTCTGTCTTCGAGTTATGACGTCTCACGGGTATTCTTACAGTGTTCGTTTTGTCGAAAATTTTTGACTACGAATTCTTAGTAGCACTTTTAACTTCTTGTTGCCTGTTACGAACATTCTTAAATGCCTACATGTGCGTCCGAGCATGTAAACGACTAATTGCTAAGGTGATCTGATATGCAAAGTTACTGGATTCTATTCTCGATCGAGCTATGTGTTCTTCTTCTGAATGTTTCTTTATCGTATTTTGTACAGTTATAAAACTTCTACATGTGTTCATTCACAGAATAAAGTTCTATTACTTTAGCAAGAAGACTGACTTACTGTTTGGTGTTAAATGACCAATCTTGCAGTTATTTGGTGCCTGTTGAATAATATTATGTTGATCGTATTTTTTTGTAAACGAACTACCATCTCTCTGAATCGGTATTATTTTATCACGTTGAATTAATCGTGTTGGTAGTTGAATATTATTACCAGTATTACTCGTTAGGGATGACTTTGTTCGTTCCACAGTTATTAATTTTGGATACAAATCACATGTAGTATCAACTGCTTGTTGTTGTTCAAATTTTTGATTTGTTGCGGCCACGGTTTTGGGGTTTTGAATTGTTTTTGACGTTTCGAGGTTTTGAATAGTTATTGTTTTCCTATTTTGTAATGCTTCTAGTGGGACTTCTATTTTAACCTTAATCAAAGCTAAATATGAAGGTTCATCGATTAAATCTCCTTTAAGTACGATATTCAACGCGTAAGGAGGCTAAACGATTTATTAGTCATACTGTCTATGCCAGTGTTCAGTTCACTATCATTAGCTAAAAAATGAAAATATACTGAACTAATACACACTTTTGCTCGAGGGTTATACCAATATCCTAAATTGTTTTTTTATGTGTACAGGATTATTGTTCCACACTTGTATAGGCTGACTTACTGTAAGAGTGTCTCGGGAGCAAACTTGAACTATTTTTTGTGGTACTATCTATTAGAGTAACTCAAGAAATAAGATTCATAAATCAGGCGTTCACAGTAGCTAGAATAGGTATGCACCGGCATCAGTATTCATACCGAAATACCGATACCGAAAATACCTAACTTCGCTGCACACCGGCGCCGTTCAGTACATACCGATACCGAACACTGATTCATACAAATAAGATCAATAAACAAAGTTCCTTGACTGAAAGTCTACGGTCTAATCGCGTCAAAATGCCTGTATGTTTGTGTGTATGTCCGCAGACTAAATACCAGCGGCACACATGTGCACCCACACATAAAGGTACCGGTATTCGGTATCGGTATATACCGAAGTTTGGTATTTTCGGTATTCAGTATACCGATACCGGTGCATGCCTAAGCTAGAAACAGTAACTATGGTTGAATAATGATAAAATATTCCTCAACTGGCTACTTTCAACACGCAAGTTACGAACTCCTTGTGATGGTTTTCAACCTAAGCACTGACCGGTTGGTTTTGATTGATAACAATGATATGTAGGCGGTGTGGTATGTGCAATATCAAAATGTGTATTTCTTGAATCTAAATTATAATGCGTTTTAGCTTCAGTTTAATGTATTTATAAGCAACATACTATTCATATCTGAAATGGTTTGATGTCGTTGGCGTTGAAGCGTTAAATAGTTTTGTTGCTGTTGCCATAGTTCATCAGTCCTATTCACACTCAACGATAAACGTCTTGGTGCATCCTGCTTATTTATGATATCTGATTGTTGTGAATTATTTTTATTTAATGGTATATCAACAACGAGTATATTTTGTTGTGTAACATAATATATCACGGAACCAATATCTGCATCTGATGGTTTTTCAAATGTTTTTCCAACATTCGTCAC